ATTCAGAATGGATCAGACTTTAACGTAAGAGTCCAAACTCTGAAACTGGTAGAAGAAAAATATCAGACGAATACTTTAAGATACTAACCTGGGCAAAGATTTTTTGATATTATTCCAAAGGCACAGGAAACAAAAGCAAAAATTGACTTACAGGATTACATTAAACTAAAATGCTTCTGCATAACAAGTGAAACAATCAACAGAGTGAAGAGCAAGTCAATTTAATGGAAGAGAATATTTGGAAACTACTCAAATAACAAGGGATTAATACCTAGAATATATAATGATCTCGAAGAACTCAACAGCAGGAAAATCAAATGATCTTACTTTAAAAATAGGCAAATCACCCAAACATTACTTTAAGGAGGATACACAAAGAAATGACAGATTCCTGAATTGATATATATTACATATACATATATTGATTACACTGATTTGATCATTACACACTGTATATACATATTGAAATATCATACCCTACCCCAGAAATATGTACTGTTTCTATGTGTGTATTACAAATAAAAGTATAAAAATAAGCATAAAACAATGACAAGCTTAGCAAACTTGCCTTAATCTCTGGATACTCTGAATTAAAGCTGCTTTTAAATTTCCCCTAAAAACACAAAAGTACATGTAGTTCTGCTGTGAGAGTGTGATAAAAACCCAAATTGGTGCTTAAACACTGGGCCTTACAGACTTTGAAACCTAAACACTTGAAGAAATAGTAGGAGTTCACTTTAGAGAATACCAGACATGAGTACTATGAAGGATCTGTCCTGATAATTGACAAGACATTCTTCCTATGTTCTGTACCACATGTCTTTGGAGGATTTACGAGTGATAGAGGAGACCACTGCAGTGTATCTGCTCCGTGGCATGGACAGGTTTGCTACTGTTGCCAGAGGCACTACTGCTATGCCATCTGATCTACGACTTCCCACATCCTTTTGATCAATGTTTATAGCATAACAATTAAGAGCACAGAAGTCAGGTAGGCCTGGTTCAGACTATAAATGTGTCATTTATTATTTGGATGATGCTCCTTGTCTTTTAAAGCTTCAATTTCTGTATCTGTAACACAAGGACATAGTAATTAATATACCATCCTTGTGGGGTTATTGAGAAAGGGCTTAGAAAGGAAGAAGCCCTGAGGGATCCCAGACTGCAAACAGAAAGAGAAGGCAAGTTGTTCAATCAGCTATCGGCTGCTCTCAACCAGCATAGGCACTAGACTTGAGGATCAAGTTCTCTGCACTTGATTGTGGCAACCAATACCAAGTGGAACACAGGGCATTTGTGCCACGTATTGTAGAATCTGAAAAGTTTGCTATTTTTTAAAACCAAAACCAGTTTGGAGTTTTTGTTATGTAGCAGTATATTCCATAAAACAGGGATTTTTTTTTTTTTTGGTGCTCCTGCAACAACAACAAAAAATCTATGGTAGATGGTATTGGCACTGGGAACAGGCAGAATCTGGAACAGTGGGGAAAAGTGCTCTTTGAGACTACAGAAAGGTGAATGCTTGCAAAACATGCTGGAGAAATGAACAGCATTGTCAAATTCTGTAACTTGGAACATAGTCCATAATCCTGAGGAACTTTTGGCCCTGGCTAAGGGGGTTCTCAGGCCACATGTTGAATGCACTAGTTGGCTTCTTTTATTTGTATATAAGGTAGTGCAAGAGAGAGGAGGCACTACAAAAGGAACTGTTCCATTCTGAAGAAAAGTCTGGAGAAACCCGAGTGGCCTGTGACTGCAGCCCCATCTGGTAAAAGATTCTCACAGAAACGACCACAAGGAAAAGATCAAAGTCAGTAAAACACGAGTTACAGAGCCCTGATGGGTGTGACCATGACTCCTTGTTAATGTTTCCAGAAGACTTAGCACTTCATGATTTCTCTTGGCAAAACAATTCTTTTGCTACATTTTATTCCATCTGCTTATGCATGCATTGATGTGCTTTACACAAAAATATATACATTTTAATAATTAGGAGAAAAGTGCACAGTATTTTATTGCCAGTCACAAGTTTTGAAGAGGGGCCAGTGCTCTGGTGAAGTGGGTTAAGCTATGCCTGCAGTGCCAGCAGCCCATATAGATGCCCTTTCGAGACCTGGCTGTTCCACTTCTGATCCAGTTGCCTGCTAATGAGCCTGGGAAAGCAGTGGAGGATGCATGAGAGATCAGAAGAAGGTCCTGGTTCCTGGATTCGCCTGGCCCAGCCCTGGCCATTGCGGCCATTTGGGGAATGAATCGGGGGATGGAAGATCTCTCTGTCTTTCTGCCTTTCAAATAAATATATTAATATTTTTAAAAAAGTTATGAAGAACTTGATTTGAAAATGTTTGCTTACTGGGTACATCATCTCTTACAGGTATTCTAAAATATACAGAATAACCCTCCATTCCCCTCCACAGATGCTGAACATTCTCAACCCCAAAATTTAAAGTCCCAAATGCCCCAAAACCTGAAGCTTTTGGAGCCCCACCAGTCTGAGGGATCAATGTAAATAAACTTTGTTTCACGCACAAAATTGTTTAAAATATTGTATTAAATTACCCACAGGCTTTGTGTGTAAGGCATCTATGACACATACATGAATTTTTAGACTTGGAGCCCATCTCCAAGATGTCTCACTATGTCCATGAAAGTAGAGCAATGTGTTTCTTTTCTTTTTTTTTCCAAAGTGATCAGAGACTCATGTCTGTGTGGTTTTTGTTTGTTTGTTTGTTTGTTTGTTTGTTTTTACAGGCAGAGTGGACAGTGAGAGAGAAAGAGAGAGACAGAGAGAAAGGTCTTCCTTTTGCCGTTGGTTCACCCTCCAATGGCCACCGCGGCCGGCGTGCTGAGGCCGGTGCATCGCACTGATCCGAAGCCAGGAGCCAGGTGCTTTTTTTCTGGTCTCCCATGCGGGTGCAGGGCCCAAGCACTTGGGCCATCCTCCACTGCACTCCCGGGCCATAGCAGAGAGCTGGACTGGAAGAGGGGCAACCGGGACAGAATCCGGCACCCCGACTGGGACTAGAACCCGGTGTGCCGGTGCCGCAAGGTGGAGGATTAGCCTATTCAGCCACAGCGCCGGCCGCAATGTGCTTCTTAACAGTGGTGATAAATTCCAAGAACTTCATTGTTGGATGAATGTGTACTTATACAAATTAAGACAGTCAGACATCATCACTAGCTTATATAATCTGAAGGGACCACTGTCACATACGTGGTCTGCCATTGACAAAATTATTAGGTGGCACATGACTTTGCTCCAAACTCTGAAAAAATTCAATCTGTGTCAAGATTATTCTTATCTACAAAATTCAATAAGAAAATATCCCCTAAGTAAATCATCTAAAATAGAAAACATTTATCTTAATGTATATCAACTACAATATCTACAAATATGAAATAGTCACAAATAAATGTCTAATAATGTTGAAATGGTTATTAATATATCTGTAGAGTGAAATATTAGATATTAAAGATAATGCTTTTATAAGTTGTTAGTGGTGAAATATTAAAACATATCCAAATAAAAGGAATTTTTCAGCTATCAATATAGAAAGATTTCTGCTGTACAGTATTTAATACTAGGATTTGTCGCTCCCCCTCTTCGTGGAGGAACGACACAGAACCCTGCGTTGTTCTTTTGTCTGCTCGGCCCTCCCCGGGTTTGCTGCTGGTTCTTCCCGGGTTGGCTACCGACCCTTCCACCTCCGTGGAAGGGCGGTTTCCCCTAGCCACTTTCCCCACTTCCGCGGGGGAGCGGCACACTGCCGGCCGGCTCTCTCGGGGGCTGCACAGGTGTTCCTCTTAGATGTTCCTGGTGCATGTTGTCTCTCTCCTCCTTTATAGTCCTCTTCCACCAATCCCAACTCTGCTACCCACACGCCGAGTACGCTGCTCTCCTCCAATCAGGAGCAGGTCCTACAGTTTATTGGTTGAACTGGAGGCAGCTGTGTAGAAGCTGTTTCCTCCTCTCCCAGCGCCATATTGTGGGAGAGCAGATGCATAGAATAAGTCTTAATTCGAGTAACAGTCTAGTCTGAGTTGCTCCCCACAGGATTAAAGATTTTTTTCTACTAAATTTTTAAAAAGTGAAGAGAAGGAGATAATTAAAAAATATTGACTGATTAATTCATAGCCAATGGACTTTATATTTTCTCTGAGCCTTCCATTATTTTTTGAATTTCACTATGCTATACTCCTTTAAAAAAAAAAAAAAGATTTACTTAATTATTCATTTGAAAAGCTGAGAGGGAGAGAGAATTCTTTCATCCACTGGTCAATTCCCCAAATGCCCACAACAGCAGAGGCTGGGCCAAGTCAAAACCAGGAGCTAGAAACTCCATCTGGTCTCTCACATAGATGGCAGGAACCAGAGTAGTTGGACCATCACTTGCTGCCTCTAGGGGGGTATTAGTAGGGGGCCAGATCCAAAGTGTTTGGGCTGGGATTTGAATTGGCACTCCCATATGTGCTGCCCATGTTGCAAGTGACAGTTTAACTTGCTGCACCATAACACAGGCCACATATGCTATATTTATTTTGTCCTTGTAAATGTATTCAGGATGAGAGAGGAGCAATATATTTAAAATTATAATGGTTTTATTATTATTAAGAAGTTATTTTATTTACATTGGAAACATACAAATCTCTACTTAGCAGTACTTTAAATGTCCCTTTATTAAAAGAATTTTCCAAAAAATCAAACAAAAAATATTCTTATTTTACAAGACCACTTTTTCTGATGCAATAGTTTAATATAGCATTAACTTAGGACCAAAGGAAAAGAACAAATAATAATATTTTAAGACAGAGGAAAAAAAAAGTATGGAAGAGAAAGACATCTAGGTATCACAGTTTTGACTTTGTAACTTAATAAAGATTGATCAAATAATTCACCTTCTAAACAGCATTTCAATCAAGGTTGAGTTGTCTCAGCTCATTGCTTCCTTTCAGTTCAGCCTCAATTCCTCTAGGAAAGATAGTAAAATCTAGACATCTACCTGTCAAATGACGGCTTCTCTCCACAGTCAAAGGCATCCTGGAGCTCCTTGACAAGATTAGCCTGGCCTGGCAGCCGGAAGAGACCCTCTTCTTTCAGCCCCCTTTGTCGGATGAAGTCCACGCACTGCTCCACCAGCATTGGGGCCAGGTGGTTCCCGTATCTCTTCTCATAGCGGACAGTGTCTTCCAGTTTCTGTCCAAAGATACCTGGAAAAATAAAGGATTAATGTACACTTGAGAAATTTCTCTCTTCTCCCTTTGCTATTTTCTTTTGAAACTCAATGTAAAGGAAAAACAAAGACCGGAATGCTAGCAAACATTGGATATTTCACATTATCATACAACTAAATTAATTCATATTATTCAATTCAACAAATTGGAAAGGGTAGCCTTATGCTTGTGTTAAGTTCAATCAAAATAGAAATACTGTGATATATACTTTGAAATAAGAAGCACTGTAAAAAAAAATGTGATTTCAGTTTGCAGCTTTTATTTTGTTTCTTCTGGGAAAGAAATTGCATTCAAAAGCTTAAACATGGTAATATTCTGCAGTTAACAGACAAACTACATTTTTTAGTCTTATCTTTATGTCCAATTTACATTTAGTTTAAATTAGGTTCATTTCTCTTTTCCTCTTTTGTTTTTAATTGAGTTGTGATGCCATGACTGAAATTAAGGTGAAAAAGACTAGGAACGAAATCTTGAATTTGTTTCCACATAAAATGCTCCAGATAGTGTTTGCTCTTTAAAACCTTACGTTATCCACCTGTTTGAGAGAGAGGGACTAAAGCAATACACACTGAATGTGCAGAGGCGGGGTCCTGGTGGCTGGCTCTCGTAGGGATGGTATTAGATCACGTACCCTGTCTAGCATCACTGACACACAGAGAAAAGCAGGTCAACTCCAAGTCTGTGTTAGCAATGATTTAAAAATACCTACAAGCCACGCATGCTTGGTGTATTCACTAGGCCTGAACAACCTCACACTTCTACCTGTGGGATCCCACTGACTAAGAGACAATACTTTTAAAATATACTGAGATCAGGTGGTAGCTTAACAGACAAGATCAACCTATGAGAAAAGGTGGGGAAAGAGCCAGAATAAATGTGACTCCAGTGTTTCCAGATGGAATGAATAACCAAATGACTCTAATCGTCTAATGAGTTTCGCAAAAGGAGAAGGAAAATGAGAGCCGTGTGTTGAAATGATGTACAACTCCAGCATGTTTGGGGGATTACTTTCCAGCCACTAGGTTAAGGATTTGATAATAATAACAGATGCTTTGCCTCCCCATTGGTAAAATAATTTGTTCCCAGATTCAGTAGTGCAAAGCCATCACATTCCAAGCAATAATGACTTTCTACTAAAGAGAATATTCTTAGCCCACATAGAAGCACTAACACCAAACAAAACTATTCTACATCTGGTATCAGATCCAACACTAAAGGGATTCATAGATTCCTTTAGGAAATAAGGTTGTGTGACTTAATATCAATATTGAAGTACATATAAAGGAGAATTAGAAAATGGCATTTTCTAAGGGCAATAGACATTAGAGTAGACAACAGGTCTATTTAGCTTAGTTTGTAGACTTTAGAACAAGCTGTTCCTTGATAACAATATGTCAAATATTGCAAGGTACTGAAACTATTACCTGTGCCTCCCAGGATACACATTAGTAGTAGGCAGGAATTGAAAGTGGAGCTGGGACTCAAACCCAGACACTATGATATGAGTTATGGCTGTCCTAAGTGACATCTAAACTGCTATGCCAAACATCTGCACCCAGATAGCTTTAAAAAAATTATTTATTTGGATGTCATAGTTACAGAGAGAGAGGGAGGGTGAGAGAGAGAGAGAGCCAGCAAGCAAGCATATGGGATGCTGGTATTGCAGGCAGCGACATTACCTGCTATACCTCAATGCCAGCCCCCAGAGAGGTTTTTTTTAATGCAAGAAAAAATAAGCCCCTGTGTTTTCAATCCACTGTTAGATGGGCTTTCTGTTACTTGCAGAAAAACAAAATTCTAATCCATTCAGCAGTGATAATAATTCTGAAACTATTCTAGTGTTTTAATAACAAGGCCCACAAATTGGTTATGAATGGAGAATACTGATTTTTTTCTGTGTATTTCTTTGAAAACAAATGTGGTGCTTATTTGCTTGCAATGATTGCACTGTATTCTGCTAAAACTAAGAAAAAAGACTTTCAAAGGCACGGATCATTCAGAAGAATACATTGGTATTGGGAAATATAATCCCAGGTAGCTAGGATATTTTTACTATGGATAGATAAATATAGTACATTATGGCTCTCTTCAAATCCAGCAGAAGATCAACTAAAGAAGTTCCAATTCAGCTTCTGTGTGTGCTATGAATAACAGCCAAACTTCTAAGGGTTAGTTTTATACTATAAGGAATAACAAACATTCCTTTTTTTAAACTCCCAGGATTTCTTTCTGTGGCCAACAACTGAGGGAGGTGATAAAGGAACAGGAAGCTTTGCTTTAGGTGTGTGCTTTGGTTTCCTTTTTAGGTCCTTGTGCATGCAGGGATACCTCATAATAAAATAAGAATTTACTCAGGAAGTATAGAAAGAAACTTAAATCCTTTATGTATGTATTATGTACTATGTCCCTGATGCGTATTCTCTGACCATCGGAAGAATCATAGAAACTGGTGACTATTCTATTTATATAGGAGGAAACTGGAGCCCAGGGGGATGAAGTGGCTTTTCCAAGGTTAGTTACACAGCATCATGTGGCAGGATGGCAGTCCATATTCAGATTTACTCATCTCTAAAACCCTCTCTGTTTGCTGAATATCGGTTCTTTTTTTTTTTTTTTATTTAGGCACGAATATCGTTAGTTCTCATTTTCCAGTCATGCAAAATATTTGGAAATTCCCAAATGGGGTAAAATAGTGCACCTGTCTTGTGCTTTAAACAGTGACAATAGCATAGATAGATAGATAGATTCCAGGCATGTTCCAAACATTTTACCTGCATTTCTCTCCTTTTTTTTAAAAAAGATGTATTTATTTATTTATTTGAAAGGCGGAATTGCAGAGAGGCAAAGACAGAGAGAAGAGAGGCAGAGAGAGAGATAGAAAGGTCTTCCATCTGCTGGTTCACTACCCAAGTGGCTGAAACGGCCGGCACTGGGCTGATCCAAAGCCAGGATTTCTTTCCGGGTTCCCCACACGGGTGCAGGGGCCCAAGGACTTGGGCCATCCTTTATTGCTTTCCCAGGCCACAGCAAAGAGCTGGATCAGAAGTGGAGCAGACTGCACTTGAACAGGCACCCATATGGGATGCCAGGCACTGTGGGTGGAGGCTTTACCTGCTATGCCACAGCGCTGGCCCCTGCATTTCAATTCCCTTAAAAACTCACAGGACAGGGCAGGTGTTTAGCCTAGCAGTTAATTAAGATGCCCATGTTCCAATAAAGAGTACTTGGGGTTGATACCCAGTTCTGCCTCCTAACTCCAGGTTCCTGTTAATGAGACTCCAGGAGGCAGCAGTATGGCTCAAGCAATTGGGTTCCTGCCATGCTTATGGAGAACTGGATTCTGTTCATGGCTCCCAGCTTCAGCTCCCATCCAGCCCAGGCCATTCCAGGTATCTGAGGACTGACCAGTAAACAAGAGCACTCTGTCTCTCTGCCTCTCAAACAACCAATTTTTTTAAAATTTAAAAAAGAAAAAAATTTAAAACTCATGGGACACTGAGAGGTGTGGGCCCCACCACTACTTCCATTTTATGGATGCAGAATTTAATGCACAAAAAAGTCAAGTAAGTTGCCAAATGTCACACAGTTTGCAAATAGTGCAACCAAGATTTCTTCTGAGTGGTGGGATTTCAGAGCCCCTCTGTATCCATTGCCCCTGCTTGCTGTGTGCACAAGATCGCTGCCTCTTAACTAGATCTCTGACCCCAATTCCTCTCGGCACACTAGGGCAGGGGTCACCTATGCTGAGAAAATATTCATTAGGGAGAAGGTCAGAACACAAAGCAGAGGGAAAACTCTGGACACTTCAGTGAGCGTGCTGCTTAAGGAAGTGATTTCCTTTATAAAAAGCTGATACCTGCTAGCAATACAATATACAAGAAAGTAAAAGCATGTGGACCATTTGCACATATGATTTTAAAAAAAAACAGTGGGAAATGACAGTGTTTTGCTGTAGAACTGGTTTTGCATACAGTTAGTAAAGGTACTTCAAAAGGTTGGAGGAAAATGGAATTAAAAAATAAGTTTATTTGGTGCCAAAGACCTTGAGATCCACGGTCCATTTTTCCATGAACTGGCTGAAGATCCCTTTGTATACATGAATTTCAAAAATGTTGGCACCAAAGTAAACTTACCTGTGTTCTGTGACCCACAAGAGGTCGGATGGAAGTGCCTTCAGAGATGCGTGCCCTGTATTCTGCAGTACTAGAAACAGGCAGTGCCAAACACCCCAGCTCCCAGGGCGGGTAGGTCAGGGGAAGGTGTGGCTTAACCTCCTGCATAGGAATGTTCTTTGTGGGGAAAATCATTGATAGGGAGAAAGTTAAATTGAAAAGATAATGAACTACCTTATTTCAAACTTTGCTTGAGAGAGTAGTGAAACTTTACATTTTAAAATTAACAAAAATGTACAAAGCTCAGGTGCTTGCTCCCAGCTCAGGGGATGGACACACTGGTCAGTGTATTATTATCAATGAGCATATTCCCTATGCTGCAGGTCAGGCAGTTCACCTAAGGCCACACTCATGCCCAGGCAGGCTTCCCGCTTCTTGACAGAGCTGTCCGTGGGGCTTCTGGCCGATGATGGCATGTCAGGCTTACTTCCCTTGGGAGACAATGATGGTGTCACAAAGCATCAGAAAGGACCTGACTTTTCTCTGGCCTGAGATGGTAAATCACACAGGTGAATTTATTATGCCTGTCCAAGGCTGTTCCAACTGGTACGAGCGAGGGAGAAATGTAGACACCTTTCTTTACAGGTGATTTATTGGCCCAACTGTAGAGGAAGCCTGTCCAGTTAGTGAGTGTGATCAAATAAATGGGAAGGGTCTTTAAAAAGTTCCTGGGAAAGCACATTATGAAAGGTATGGATTTCAAAATTATTTTGCACCAATATAAAATTATCTAATTAAATTTTCCATGAACTTGAATTTTTTAAAATTTATTTTCAGATTATTTGAAAAGCAGTGAGAGACAGA